AGACTACAGATACACTAAAGCGAAATTATTGAGTATTAATGAATACATACTAGGAGGAAAATAAATTCAGCTTTACTTTTTGAACAATTTCTGTAAGATCAATATGAAGAAAAAGAAAGAAAATATGTGCACTGATTGGTATAAAATGTTATTTCTATCAAACAATTAGATTATGAGCGCGAGATTTCTAAGCGTGATAGTTGACCCTGGCTGGGCCCTTATCAACTATCACGTATAGAAATTGAGGGTGAATGATCTAATTGTTTTAGTATAAATCTACTAGTCATTCAAAACTTTATCTAAATCTTCTTCACAGACACTTTGAAAATGTCAAGAAGCAGTCGTCATTTTGTTAACGAGGGCACACTGCTACACTACTCACTATCTATCACAGAATAGATAGTGAGAAGTGTAGCCAATCAGAGAATGCAGTTTGTGATAGAGCACTAGTAGAATTCTACTTAAACTTGATAGAAACACAGAACTAGCAGGAGCTGTTGACGTAATGATGGTACGAGCAAAGAGAATTTACATTTTGATGATCAAAGTAAACAACTTGTTTTTCTTTTTCTTGTCGTGGTATTTTCTAAAAGAAATAGGAATCATGTTCTCTGTGTTTCTATTGAGATATAGAACACAAGTGAAAGTTTGTGAAAACTCGCAAAAGCTGTGGAAACACACACCTAATGGCTTGTGTTCTTTGTGTTAGGTGTGTTCTTTGCGTTAGCCTCCTTTCAAAAAAAAACCCGGCCCTAAAGGTTAAACCTTCAAGTACATTTATATCTAATGCAAAACCTTTCATCAATACATTGACTCATTTGACTTGATGCCTTGACTCGGAGAAGGGGAGGGACGTACATACTGCATGCATACATTTTATTTAGACACAGTAAACACATCAGTTACCAGGGCGAGTCAAAAACTGAAAATAACTGATTTACATATTTGCTGTGTGGGAGTATGAGGAGGACATTAAATTTAGTGATTGATCTTATTTTTGTTTGAGGAGTGGGTGGAATGGGGTAGAAAATGTTCTTTGAATAGACAACTTAAGCTGACATTTGTTTTTCAGATACTTCTTAATTAACTTGGTCTTGGGAGCAGATGGTCTCAAAGAGTTAAAACATGAGCTGGACACAGATATTGATCTGATACGACCAAGATTAGTCAGAGTGAGGAGTTGCTATGAACCAAAGGAAAAAGAACACAACCTTCTGAAATGCTGGAACAGTTATAAGCCTCCGAATACTTAAGTTAATAGGTCTGTACACAAGATGATATAAGAGGAAAACATAGTTGCTGTTTTATTCGTTTGCAAATAAAATCGATATTTGCATAAATTTAATAAGTTAATTTTTGGTCAAGCAGGACCAGGACTTTTGTAATAGGAGACTTGGAAAAAGTTACAGTAGAACAAGACTTTGAAAAGAAACAGCACAACTTCAGAAATAAGAAGATACTTTTAAATTTCACAAACATGTTTCGAAAAAAGACATCATCATCTTCGGTGTAATGCAAGACAGTATTTACAATCTGTTTGAATTGATTTGCAACAAAAGCTAACTAACGACTACTGACCAGGAGGTGAAGATTAGAAGAGAGCCTGACTGTTCATGCCAAAACTTGTGCACGTGACACAGTTGTGTTACATGTGATTCAGACTGACCATTGTATCACCTCTTTTCCAAACTCATTCTCATGGCCTTTTCCCTTGTTTGGGGGCAGGATCAGTAGGATACCCGCTCTGCCCCCAAAGAAAAAGGCAATGGGAACCAGGTTGCCTCATTTCATGTCATATTATATTGTAAATAAATCATCATGAAACATTTACCGTTTTATTGTCCTCGATCCCTTTTACATTGTCCTGAACAGCGACAGTGTCCCATGGCCAAATAGGAAATATCAAACATTGATTGATTGAACAGGAATTAGATCTTCAAAAATGACAAAGTAAAAGGTTTCAAAGTAAAGCAAACTCAGGTCTTAAATTTTCGAGATTCAGAAGGGCTCTTAGGTCTCAGTTTTTGAGATTCGTAGGGGGTGTTACTAGGTTTTAGTTTTTGAGATTTGGAAGGGGTCTTATTTGTTGAGATTCAGATGGGGTCTTAGGTCTAAGTTTTTGAGATTCAACAGGGTTCTTAGTTTTTGAGATTTGGAGGGGGTCTTAAGACTTATTTTTTGAGAATCGGACGGGGTCTTAAGTCTTAGTTTTTGAGACACCATCCATCTGTCGTCGAGATAGACGGATAGATCTGAGGTCTATCTTGACAATCGTTGAAGAGTCTGTTCAAGAGTCTGACAATGACTAAACGTTTCCTAACGATTGCAGCGACCATGTGGAAGTCAGCCTGAATCGGCTCCAATTCTTCATGATTTTCTGCGAACGCAGCTGCCCAGCGGCAAGGTTTGTTTGACAGTGTAAAAGTGCGTTTACCGACAATCCCACCCCCCTCCCCCCACCCCCACCTCTCTCCCTATAAAGTGCGGCTTGCTTTCCACGGCTTTTTGCAAGTAACCCATCACCCCACGGGTTGTTTTATGTGATTTTGGAAATCAGAAGCTTTAAAAATAAAGTTTGTTTTGTTCGTTTTGTAACTAAAAACACGATAAACGTTGCGTACATAACTGCGTTATGATATAAACATACACTCTTATTTTACAGAGCGACTACTCTAACCAAGGCCGCCAGACAAAATTTTATACAATTTAACGAACAAAAATCGTGGAGGTTAACTATAGTTTTCCAACAGATTATCCATGTAATCAAGCTGTACATTACAAAGACAACAAATTTGAGGTTATTTTGATTAGTAGCGAGTTTCAAACTTTAAAAATGCCAGTGGTCAATTTGCAAAGAATAAAAGTGGCCTTGGTCGGTGTAGTCGCACTGTAAGAGGTGTCCACAATTAGTTTACTGTTTCACAGTGAGCTAGAATTTTGACACGCTCATAAAGTTATGTATTCATTTTTATTTTTATTTAAAAAGAGTGGAAACAATCAAAAAGGGTCGGTGACCACTTAAGAAGCCCTTTTAATTTTTTATTATTATTCTGGAAACACTGTCATGACAAATACTCGTTAAAAACAAATAAAAGCTGTTATGATAACTTTCCGCATTCCGCGTTAACCAGAGCTTCATTGACGCGCGATAAGTTAATTTATTTGGAAAAAACAAGAAACATTGCGGTATCATGCAGTTCGGTGAATTCTTTGAAATTCTCTTTGTTTCTCTGAAAACAACCATGAGTGGTCTCGAAACACTTGCAATTTGATGACGTAACGGGTTAACTGGCGCCCTGCGGCCATAACCTTAACAACACAGATTGCTCGGTAAAACTTACCAAACGCCCCAACAGCCTTTTTTTTTTTTGCGTTTTGGTCCAAAAACAGCAGAAAGTAGACTGCTGGCAGCCAGCTTTTTCTCTAACAGCCACTTCGACGAGTGTTTAGCCATCGCGAACGGAAAAGGGCGGTATGGCCGAGTGCCCATGATTCGTCCCATTCTGCGCCGTAGGCTAAAAAACGTCTCGCCTCATAACCACCGCTGAATTTCGAGAGAAAAACAGACAGCCGGCTGTCCATCCAAAAAGTAGATGTTCCCATTCCCATCTAATTGTCATAACACAATGCAGCAGGCAGCAGCTAAGTGAATTGGAACCTTACCCTAACCCTCTTCGACCATATCAAATACAAGCACGGAGTAGTGATATGGTAATGTCCATCTCTATCATGTTTATCAAAACAAATAATCAATTTTTTGAAAGCAATTACAAAGGCACTCAGGCGATGAGGCAATGTTGTGCAGTAAAAACGCTAGTGTCACCATTCAAAATAAGGTTTGCCCTAGTCAAACATTTACGGTTTGTCTCATGTTTCGAACATAGTTCGAAAACATTCTTCTTTACTTTCATTTCCTTTCCTTTCGATTCCGTGACTGGAAAGAGCAGCGGCCCAATAATTGACGAAAGAGGAAAAAATTCCTTTACTTCTTGATAACAAAGACAAAATTAAGTTTTCAATGATTTTCCTTGTTGGTTACCTAGCGACAACTGGATTGATTTTCGCTTCAGGAGTCATTTTTTTTCCTGTTTGCTTTCCAGTGAAGTCATGCAAGATGCATCTGCAAGGGTTACTACTGCTGGCTTTCGTTCCTTTTTGCATCTCACGGCCGTCGTCTACCGGTGAGCAAAATTTTGCAATTTCTATTGCTCTTCTGGAAATGATCCAATAGATTTGCTTAGTACCCAGGGCTCCCAGGTGCTCGCTGTTGACGCTAACTGGCGACGTCACAATCAAATTTGAGTGAATTTTGAAGGGAGACAAATTACTTTTTATTAGTTCTTGCAAGTTACAAGGACAGAATTTGTAAAAGCTAGACCGCTGGAATCTCTTTCACTCTTAATTCTTGGTAGTTCCGGTGTAGTAGAACTGAACAATTTGAAATCAAAGCTGGAACTTTATTTCAAGGTTTGTGAATTTTCGAAGCTATGTTGCATAGTGATACCTGACCTCTGTTCAATACAACTCTTTGAACAGAACCACCGCCGGTCGATGGAGAAGTACCACCGGTCGATGGAGTTGGTCCACGTGACGAAGGGACAAAAAAACTGGTGAATGGTCAAGTCTACGGAGTTGACGATGAAATACATGAAACAGTCGACCCAGGTAGGGACACAATCTCATCCCAAGGGCCGGTGCTTTTTCGGTCAGCGTATTCTTGGTGCTGACCGAAAGGATCGCGGTCTCTGGGAACTTGGGACATGGCCAATAAACTGCTATCAACAAAGATTTAGGGTGGTTTTCATTCGAGTGTCGAAAAGTAATGGGTTTTGCTTTACCAAGCTACGCGATTGGTTTAAAGATCTCGCGCCACTTTGTCATCCAATCAGAAGCAAAACCAACACCAATCGTCAACTCGTTAGCACGCGTTTTCCCGCGCTTCGCGTCAGATACGTGTAATAAAACTTTAAGTTTTGATTTAGCTCACTGTATTGTCTGTGTCCTTTGTGATTGGCTAGAGTGATTACTTTGGTTTTGGTTTTACGACACTGAATCGAAAACCACTCTAACTCCTGTGAGATTACACGAAGTTGTGTACTCTTCAGTACGAATGGTTTGATGCTTCGTACAAACATTTGTCATGTACCAATGTTACTATATACGCCAGCTCATATGCAAAAAGTCATGTACTAGTTTGAAATTCTCATGTAACAAAAAATTTTGCTTCGTTTGACAAAACATTTTCAATGTACCATTTTCTTCGCCGCTTTTGTCTTTTTGTCCACAAATTGGTAGACTAGTTTGTGGCGTTTCTGTCAAACGATAGGTATCCTCTCGTAAGACTTGCATAAGTGTAAAAATAGAGTTTATAATAATTCCGGTGAATATGTTTGAGAGTTTTTCTTTTGTCAATGACACCGCCATGTCCAGTAATTTACATTGATTTCTGTGCACAGATGATCCCATGGTCGATGAAATTGGTGATGAGGAACGTCCTAAAAAAGCCGAAGAACTGTGGGGCATACCATCCTCATTCAAGGACAGCACCCTTAAGCAGTGGGGAAAGTAGATAAACGGCCAAAACTCTGTACCAGAGCAAGAATCAGAACAAGATTCACTGGTTATATTGCAAATATATCGTCTTGAAACGTTTACCGTTTTGTTGTCCTTAATCCCTTTTACATCATCCTGAACAGCGACAGTGTCCCATGGCCAAACAGGAAACAGGAATCAGATCTTCAAGAAATTACACCTATTGTTGATTTAAGCTTCAAATTAAAGCAAACTCAGGTCTTAGTTTTCGAGAATCAGAAGGGGTCTTAGGTCTTAGTTTTTGAGATTTGGAGGGGGTCTTCGAGGGGTCGTCAAGATAAACGGATAGATCTGAGGTCTATCTCAGCAATCGTTGAAGACCGCTCTGTTCGACAGTCCGACAATGGCTAAGCATTTTCTGACCATCACAGCGACTGAATGGAAATCGGCCTGAACCGGCTCCAATTCTACTTGATTTTCTGCAAACGCAGCCGCCCAGCGGCAAGGTTTGCTTGACAGTGTAATAGCGCGTTTACTTCTCCCCCGAACCCCCTTCCACCTCTCTCTCTCTTCCTATAAAGTGCCTTGCTTTCCACATTTTTTTAAAGTAGCCCATCACCCCACAGGTTGTTTAGTGTGATTTTGGAGATCAAAAGTTCTAAACTTTATAGAGTTTGTTTTGTAAAGACATGAATGATGGTCGCAGTCGGTTATGAATGATCATCGCGTTTTAAAATTTCTCTACGCGTAGTGTGAACGAAAAACATTCGATGCGTTTTCAGAGTGACAACGCCGTGAAATTTCTTCGACGTAGTTTGGACGGGCCTCAGTATCCGCTAAGCATACGTAGAGACCGTTTAATTGCCTTTTTTCATAATGTGTTACGCAAGCGCTAGTTGGCAGTGTTTTTGAACATTGCAACTTTGTTGTAACCGAAGACACCAATAAACAATGTTTAAAATACGTGTATATTGTACAGTACTTCACTATCATTTCTAAACTTTATAAGTCACATTTTCGCTGTTTTCGGTATTTTAGAAGTCATGGCACACATCCCTTTTTCAATTGCTGATGTCGCACAAGCAAGAAGACAAGGCTACTTCATACCAATACAACTGATTCTTCAACACAACCGTCTGTGCCCACCAATGACATTTCAGTAAATAAACCGTAACAGCAAAGATCGCGCAATCTGGCAGTTAAACCCGCAATAAGATCTGCTTGAGTGGTATTTGCTATCAAACTCGACTGATTAGATAAGCAGAACTATGCGTCCAAGTTCCTCGTACAGTGTCCACAGCTTGAGCTTTAACGCGACTCCTTGATTAATGTCATGGCTGAGGGATGATCTTGAAGATAACGCGGCATCCTCCAGCGACATGATCTTCACTTGCAGAGTCTAAAATAATTAATGATCAAAAAATGTTCAAATGTTTTTTTTATACACCTGGCTAGTTCACAGGCATGCCAGCTATACTGAAAGAATAAACATAATAGGCTTAAAAATCCCAGCTGGCGGGAGGCAGATCAGTTGGCTATTTACAAGCATGACCGAGGAGTTGAACCACGGTCTACCGAGAAACAACTCCAGCTTAGTGGTCACAGCGGGACTCGAACCCGCCACCTCCGGATTTCAAGTTCGGCGCCCAAACCATTTTGCCATGCTACACATATTGCAACGATTTAAAATTATTTTTGTTGTTTTCAAAGTTGTGCGTTTCGGTTGTTATTTTCTGGGACTGCAGGTCACCAACAAGAAGCAACTGTTTCCATTAATTTCACGCATAATGTATCGGAAATTCAAATACATGTAAAAGTACATAACATCTACTAATTTGTACCTGGAGTTTCTCTACTGCTTTCTGAAGGTCATATGCTCGCATTTGACTTTTTCTGGTCTCACGTTTGATGACAGGCTAGGGAAAGAAGTTTGAAATCAAAACAACATGAAATTATATGCCTTGGCTAGTTCCGCGAAGGGTGACTTTGATGGGAAATCCCAACAGGCAAGATGATTTTAGCTTGCTCGCCGCGCGGGATTGCCGCCATGTTCTGTTGACGAAGCTATGGAATAAGCCATTTATTGACCAAGCATGATCGGTCAAAATCATTTGACATTGCCCCCTTTTTCAGTTAATCAGGTACCTCTGTTGCCGGTACAATATTTTCCAAGCTAAGCATTGGACCGGACACTGACCCAAATGATTCCACGCGATTTTCCTGTAATTTTTAGTCGCAATAATTCTCTTATTCTCGGGAACGCGCGGTAAAAATATCGGCCCTTGGTCTTTTCTGTAGTGCTCTCCGTGTTTTGTCATCGAAACAGGAGCACAACACGGTAACGTGCGTTGTATAACACTTGGCACCAGCTTGCAATTTTTTTGCACCAAGTTCTGATTGGTTAATTGCTCTATTTATGTTTGTTGTGATTGGTCAAAATGATCTCTACTCACAACTAGAAAATTGCTCTGAACAGAGCAAAAATTGCTCTAAACAGAGCAAGCAATCAACTCAGTACAAAGTGCGAGCACCTGTTATCCGGTCTTTTAGCCCCTAACCATTAGCCGCTAACCATTAGCCCCCCAAGTAGAAGTTGATTAGCCGCCAACCGGATCTCGAAAACACTCTCTATTTCTCGTTTTTTAAGCGTGAATAGGGGCTAATCAACTTCTGGTTGGGTGCTAACCGCCTAGGGACTAATCGACTTGGGGGCTAAACAACTTACATTCGAGAACTTCAGTTCGCAATGTTGTAAGGGTATGTCACGATATGGGAATTTTATCAACTTACTTGAAATCTTGCCAACACCGCCTCGTGCAGGCGGCAGAGGAGCGGTATAGATGAACAGTGTAATGCGACCTCCAAGGGCGGACCATCGGCTGATGTTACATATCCTGTCGCAGGCTTCACGCGTAGTGATGCTTGACTTCCATTAACAGTTAGCAAGTCAATGCCTGAATACTTGAAATCAATCTGCTGATGGTTGATGCTGGAATCCGTGAGAATAAAGTGCAAAACAGTATCCTGTGGTGTTAAAGATTGTACAGTTTCCTGAGTTGCATTTTGAGCAGAACTGTTTTGAGCAACAATCTTCATGAAGCTTACGGCGTCCTGAGAAACAAGAAAACTTGCAGAGTAGCTTCCAAATTGCAAAGATCTCTCTGCATTCTCTGCTCCACTCTGCCCAAACAGATCCTCCTTGTTTATCGTAAATTGGATTTCTGAGTTGAGTTTGTCTAAGGTTTGTAAAAGCTCTTCCTTGGAACCTGGTAGTGGATTTTTCACAGAAATGGGTGATTCCATCTGATGAGGTCGCACAAAATGAAGCACATCAAACACATGCCTACTGATCGGTATCAGCACATCTTCAACAGGCGTCTTGAAGAAATCTCCTGAGTTTGGATCTGTTCTGACACCAGCAAGTAATGAATTCAAGTTACAATACAATTGCACTTCTGCGACAATGTGAAATGATGAAGAGAAAGACTTGCTAAGGGGGATGTCTATCTCTACGAATGACCCTGGATTAGAAATCTTCAGCGGCATTGATCGGCCAATGTTGTGTGAATCTGCTGTGACTTGACGACACCAAGGTTCTTGACCTTGTACCTGAACCAGCAGAGACCACGAAGATGACAACATCAAGGTCCCTTGATTAACAACTTTACAATGCAAAGACACTGAACTATTTCCACTACTGTCACAGGACAGAACACTGGGTGTAAAAGTGCAGGAGATCGGACACATACTCTGTTGAGTTGTTTCTATCCCAGAAACTGCTGCATCCTTAGCAAGTTGGCAGACAGTGTGGATAACCATGTTAAGCTCTCTCAAAATACTATCCTCTGTCTCTATGGTAGCATTCACTTTGGCCAGTTCTGCTGCCTGAGTTTCAATCTCCCTCAAGTAACTCTTCACTTTCTCACCAGCCATTTGAGGTGAGACATTTGAGTAGATGTGTGATTCTTCATCTTGTGAATCAGGCAAAACAAACTGTAACAGTCTCCCATTCATATTGAGAGCATAAGCTTGAGTCACTGTTCCAGTTGTCTTGTTCTTCTTCTCTACACAACAAACTGTGCAAATGTTTGGTATCTGCATGCTTAGAGTGGTGAACAATGTCAACATGCATGAAGATAACAAAGGAGTAGAGCTTGCTGCATCCATTGCATCATTTACACTCAACCTTGTGACAAAAATTTCTTTTCCTGTTGAATGCACCAGAGTGTCACCCCTGTTGCTTAAACAGGAGCACAGAACAGGTCCAAGAATTGTGTGTCCACTAAAATGGATAGCTCCTACTTCATCTCCCTTCTCAGGTTTTCTTTCATGAGCAATAACAAGCTTGTCACAATGTCCAACAAAGACAAGAGCATTGCAGCAATAACCAGTGGAACCTTTTTTGCATTTAGCGCTGCTTACGCCTGAAGAGTCCTCTTGACAATGAATATTTCCTGCATAAATTGCCGACACTCTTTGTTCCAGATGATAAAGCAACTGAGGTGAAAATGACTGCCTACCTCCAAGAGTCTCAGGATTTGTGCTTGTGAGAGCAAAGCTGTTCACAGGCCAAAATAGTATTTGCCCGTCTTCACCACCAAACATAACAACTGGTGAGTCCAAGAGGGATGCTTCCCAGTTAAAAAGCTTGTTAAATAATGGTCTTTCAATAACTGGACACAATGAACATGACACAGTGCTACTTGGTTGTACACAGCATAACTGGGGTGTATAACACCAGTGACGACTTCTTTGGCTTTCTTCCCATGAAGACATAAGCGATGGCACTTCTACTTTTGATTTGAGCTCTGGAAGGGCTTCATAAGCTGGCATCAGAACATCGCTATTAGGTACTACTGTTCCAAACAAAGACAAAAAGTAGCCTTTGTCTGAAGTTCTACAACATATCAACTTGTCTCCAATAGGAATAAAAGTTTTTAAACTCTGCTCAAATAAAACTGCACTTCCTACATCAATCACTGTCGTGTTCTTCAAAGATTTAAGTGACTGTTTATGGGGTGTTTTTCCAACAGTAGCACTTGTACCAGCAAGGAGTTCTCCAAAGATGTCATTCTCATCATTCTGAATTAGTTTTGTTTCACCACTAGTGACTTCCAGATTGAGCTCTCCAATCTCCTTCCTCTCTCTTGTTTGGTAATCATTTGCATACAATAAAGCAAAGTAATTTTTTACATATTGAATGACACTGTAATCACAAACATGCTGCCTAAATATCTGTCAAATTTAGGAATTCTGCAAATGCAATAATCCTAGAAGTGTCCATAGCTTTTCTGTCCATGCTCAATGATATCAAAATTTTAAAGAACTTTAAGGTGGCCTTTTGGGATCACCAACTCTCATGGGGTCACCCTGGTTTACATCTAAATAATTTCAGCTGGATTCCTATCACAAAACAACACACTTAATTTAGCAGTGTAAATGCTGGAAGCACATCAACACAGCACTTCATGTTCAATTTATCTAAGTTGCTTTTTGAAAATCCACTCGTAAACAAGGCCTAATGGTAAAGTTTGTTGTGTTCAGTGAATTCTTCTGTAAAAACATGCAGTTCCAGAAAATATCTACACTCCCCTAACAGAAGGGATTGGAATTTCCTGGGGGTATGGGTTCAGTAAGACCAAAATATTTAAAGAAATGTATGAAGCTTAATTGAAATTTCCAGAGGGGTGGGGAGGGGGTCTAAGAAAAAATCCCTTCTGTGGGGGAGGTATGGATATTTGCTGGAACTACACAATCACTCCCATGGTGGCAAATAATTCAAGCAGAGGTGTGGCTGTATTAACTGCCTTGACATCCACATCCTCTCTGGTCACCGAACTACTGGTCAATGGGGTATGACCAAATTCAAAACCAGGTAACATGCACAAAACAAAAACCATCCTGACTTTTAGACTTGGATTCTGTATTGAAATTTCACTCTATGGAAAGTTATACCTCTTGCTTTTGGTCAGACTCTCTGGCAAAGAAACAGCAAAAATATTCCCATCCACTGTTGCTGCAAATATTCGTCTCTTTCCATTCCACTCTTGGAAACGAACAGTCGTAATCGAAGAGGGGAATCGAAAGGTGTGCTGAAAATTGAGGTTAAATGTTAAGAGCTCTATAATTACTATTATCTCTGCGTCGATTGCAAAGTAAGAGGTAAAATGTTATGTTGCAAAATTCACATATAGGCACCATGACAAATTTTAGCTTACGTCTATGCTGTCTTTAGCTATCAAATAAAGAAACTCGTTGCCATTAGACAGCAGTACTATCTTTTTTCGCTTAGAAACAGTCACGGTCTGTATAGACGGAGGTGCAGATGGAGCTATAGAAGCAAATCTTTGCAATGTTTTCACTTCGTTTTCCGCCATTTTGTGACCTTCGTCATTTTGAACCGCGCGCTCGAGAGAATTATGGGTACTCACTGGAAGGTACCGCTGAGAGCCAGACGGCTCAAATCAATGTGTGAAATAGCAAACAGTCGCAAACCCAAACATTAAATATGTTTGGAATAAATTAATTATTGACAATTTGACATTTCATTCCCCCTCGAAATTTTTTGTGCAAGCCATTGCGGCGTATTCCACGAGAGGTAAAATTGCCGTTGCAGGCACCAGAGAAATCAAAGTTACGGGAAAGTCAAATTCGACCTTATCGTTGACAGTGAGAAGGCGAGCAGAATGCTGCAGAATTCGAATGTTTTTTGACTGCCAACTTCTTGGCAACTTTGTCGAGTTTCCGGGCTGTCTTTGACGGTGCAACTGGGTGAAGCTGTGGATGTTTGCAGAAGGTCTTGCCATGGTTTCACAAGCGTTTCCTTCCGTACATGACGTTATAAACTGAGGTAAACTCGTTCGAAGAACAGTAATAAGCTCAATGAATCTCTATCACTCAGTTTCGCGGTAAGCATGCCTCCTTGGGGTTTGCAGGTATTGTTATTAATCGCGGGTGTTTTGCCTATTTATGGACAAACAAATTTCGCACTCTATGGAGAGGCAATTGTTTCATCGAACGACTCTTGTGGTTTGCAAGGAAACGATGAATTCTGCTTGGCTGTTGACCGCCTTCAACGTTGTCACGAGATCGATTACTGTGACGCTCGATGTCCGTTTGGAGAGAATATGCCATTTAGCGTGGATCTTGTTGCTACGGGGAACTTTCATGGCGAGGTAATATTCTTAAAAGTGTTGTGCTAAGTGTTAAATATAGTATCAAGTTACTTTCAGGTGAGTGTGATCCATTTATGAAACATTAGTTCGACTCTGATCGTCTTTGTGACATATATTTGATTGGGTTCTTTGTTTTAAACATAAACAATGCCGGACAATGACGAAGCTTTTTCTTCATATTTGCAAGGCGACTGAGTTGTATTTCGAAAGAGGATTATTACGAAGCAACCGTTGATATGTATAGATCGGTGGTTATGGTGCTAAACATTTAAACATTAAAGTAAATTAGTTTTATTATCTTTTGGCAATCGCAACTTGCGTGATTCAAAGTTGACATCTGACTACAAAAGCTCAGATCTTAACTGCAAAAGTTCAGAATCTTGGGTTAAGCTCCCAGGTGGGCTCCCAGGTGATGTCTCCGGATGCGAGTGGTCTGGGTTTATGGCCAGATCATTCAGACAGTACCCTCACAACCCATCTTGATCTGTAGCTAGGGATATATAGGGTTAAATAGGAACTAGCAAAATATCAATGAAAGGGTTCGACTCATGAGTATATATCAATAATTATTATAGATTTTTCAGTTAGTGTTATCCCTGGGGGAGGGGGTGCTTCTAGAAAAGTTGGGGGGAGTGTGCAGCCCACTTCCCAAAACCCTTACCCTATTTATGACCAAAATCTGCAGTTTTGCTACCCTATTTATGACCTGACCAAAAATTCTATAGCCTATTTATGAACGTTGCGGCTGACACAGTTGCCCTAAACATAAGTTATGAAGGGCTCTTGTCGACGGTCTTATTGATAATGATGAAAAAGTAGCTTCTTCTAAGAAACATACCCAATTCAAGACTAGAGTGCTAAAACCATATCCAATTTATGACCAAAATGGCCAAAATCGATACCCTGTGAAAGACCAAAACGGCTGAAAAACCCTACCCTTTGAGGCTGCACATACCTATATAGACCATATAAGGGAGTACCCACCCCTCCGGGCATTATCAATTTATTGATAATTATCAAATTTATCAAATATACTGACTTATTGTACAATTTATTGGGTAATTGAAAAGGTCCCGAAACTGACTGTCGGTAAGCTGTCAGCTGACAGGTTACCGAAGAGCTCCCGACCAACTACCAACAGTTTTCTAAAACAAAACGTTTGCTGTGGAACAGACAGGAATAGAGTAATATACCCGATCAATAAAATGGTTTCAAAAATGTAATACATCTCGTCACTAACTTACCGACATGTTACCGACATGTTACCGACAGATCACTGACTGTCAGCCATTGTATTTGTTGGCCGACTGTTGGTCTGTGTTTCAGCCAAAACCTGTTGGCTGTCTGTTGGACAACAGTTGGCTGATAGTCAGCCCATAGACGGCTGACAAAAGGCCAACATTTGGCCGACAGTTTTTGGCTGACAGTTGGCCGACAGTTGGCTAACAGGTGTTTTGAGAGCTGTCCTTCACAGTTACCATTTATTGATCAGAAATGAAATCAACCTGGGAATAAAATTGCATATAAGAACATAATTATTATGTGGTCTCATAAATTTCATCTCAAGCCACAAACACTGCGTTAACGAACACAGTTTTTAAAAGCATAAACTAATAGAGAAAAACTAAGCTTAAATTGATTCTATAACGATCAATAAATCCAAGAAAATCAATAACACGAAACTTCACCAGGATGTGATTATTGCTTTCTATGGATTGATAATATTATCGACAACACATATTATTTGAATTTATCAATATTGATGTCAATTTAATGAAAGGTTTTCCCATATCATTTTTATTGATTGTGGTCTTAATAGCAACAAGACCAATGTCATCTGACTGTGTTTTCTTTCCAGGTGGGATTAATAAATCAATCGAGTGAAGTTTGTACTGAACAAGGAGAAAGAACAGTCCAGTTAAATGGCACAAATGGTTTTATTTCAAAGTCACCTGAAGCGTTCAATGAATCTCAAGGATTTACACTTACCATTCATTTGAGCCAAGAACCAGGAGATAGAGGGTGAGTTGCTTGTTGTTGTTCTGCTATATATGAAGTGCAACTCTCATTACCCCTTTCCACTCAGAAATATGCAGAGGCACAGTGGCCTCATGGTTAGTGTGCTTGCTTCTGGACCAAGTGGTCTGCGTTCAGGCTCTGGTCAGGGACACTGTGTTATGTTCTTGGGCAAGACATTTTCACTGACTTACAGTGCCTCTCTTCATGATCACCCAGGTGTATTTAAATGGGTACCAGTGAACTTAACGCTGGAGGTAACCCTGTGTTGGACTAGCATCCCTTCCATGGGGGGAAAGTAAACTAACTTAAGTCTATTTTTGTTGATGTCTTAAGGTGGCTGACAATAGTCTCCAGCACTTTCAAGTATTTATACTTTGATGGATCAATACTATCATGCACTCTTTATCAAGTCATGCTGCAATATAGGTATCAGTTCACACATGAATATGTACAAGCATAAAGGAACTATGCCACAGGTGGTGCAAATGTGGCCTGAATTAATCAAGTTGCTCATTTGCAGTCTGTCTCAATCACAGCATTATTATCCAATATCCTTATTCCTGTTTTGTTTTTTCCTGTTTTGTTTTTTGTTAACTCTTAAATAGGATCTTTTTACCAAAGAACTTTTATTTTTGCATTTCTGTTGATTTATTCTGAAATTAACTTTGTACATCTCAATAAATTACTCAGTGTGCTCATTTCAATTTCAACTGATTATCTTTTAGTATTGTTGCAAGGAAAGAAGACAATGCAAGTTTAGTCTTTGCAGTTTCTGCTGACAGCAGTAATCAACAAATGTCTCTAGAATATCTCAATGCGAGTGGATCAAGGAGCACACTGCATGTCAACTACAGTTTAGCTGATGGACAGTGTCACCATGTATCAGTTGTGCTCTTCAGTTCTACAATACAACTGTACGTTGATGCAATTCTTGTAATTGAAGAGGTTACTTACCAAAACCTCTGGAACCAAAGTGGAAGTATCTTCTTAGGAGGGATGCCAAATGCTTCACAAGATCAGTTCTTTGAAGGTAATATTATTATAAAATGAATGGTAAAGATTATAATTTACAATCTCTTACTCAGTTCTCATTTTGTAAAATGCTACAAACAATACCACTCACTTGAATATTAACACCCCTTACAAGTACAGCACACGTAATGAATAAGTGTTACCACATTTTAGGCGCTGCTCAATAGCTGTCATTTTGATGGTTGCGTACTTGGATTTTGTCCAGCACTTAAAGTTACAATGCATGTCTTATATCACATACTGAGCAATAGGTATACCAGATCATCGGCTCTATCAGGTGGATGTGGGTTTTATCTGCCATTATTCCAGTCCCTTATAGTATGACAGTGTATAGCGTGACAGATTGTAGCGTGACAGACCGTAGTGTGACAGACTGCTGTGTGACAAGCAATCTGTTACAAGTGTCGGTGAAGATCAGGGTTGTGTCCCAGTTACAACTCAAGATCGTTGGTACCAGGAAACATTCCAAGCAGTTTACAATCTGGTTCCCAGAGCTCGTGCGTTTTCGGTCAGCGTTGACTGAAAGTGCGATGGTAGATACGTTATGCATGGGACCGAAAGTATCGCAACTTCAAAAACACTTCAACCCTCTTGAATTTAGACTTTGAAGGACTGAGGGTCATTATGTTCTCATAGATCGCGGCTGAGTCGTCTGGTAGTTTGTCGGCATTAAACAAAACTAAGATTACAATTGTCGTAACGTGATCTTTCATTTGCTTGTTTCTTACAGGAGAGCTTGGTTCTGCTCATCTTTATGCCGGACCTCTCCTTCCATCAGAGATCAGAGCAGACGCCACTGGACAAAACCTTCACAATCCACGTCTGGCACCACGCTGCAGGTGTCAAGTGGAGTATCCATTAGTTTCGTCGGATATTGATGGTCTTCACTGTGTCAATCCAAAAAACAACAAAACAGTGAGGCGTGTGAATGTGAAAGCGCATTATGAAGGCATGGCCAACGATGGCAACCTTGATACCTGGTGGCAATCTAAACGAGCGCAAGTCCCGCTCAATTTTACAGTGAGTCTTGGCGGCGTAAAACAAGTGTTAGTCGTTAAAATATCGTTTAAATGGTGGCCGCCGGGAGGTTTGATTCTTTTAAAATCTGCAGATTACGGCGCGACATGGTTGCCTTGGCAATATTTTGCTCAAGATTGCAGAGCGACCTTTGGCATGGAGAATCGTGGAAAGCTGGACTTTCCTAACAGCGTTAATTGTATTGAAGGATTTTCATATCCTCTCCACGGCGAGACCGTGCCGTTTTATTTACTTCAAACTACAAGGCCAGCAGCAAATAGTTTTGAATCGAATTCAACTCTTCAGGAGTTTTCTTTTGCCACTCACGTTAGGTTGTCAATGGTTTCGTATCTGGGGAATTCACCACAGAAGACAGATTATTTTGCAATTTCAGAGATTGAAGTCTATGGAAGAAACTGCAGTTGTCCGTTTCTAAGAAATGTTTCATCTTGTCAGTGTGATGGAGATATTGTTAGGCCGCCAAAATGCAATGAAACGTTGAAATTCGACAGTGAACGCTACACGAGAAGTATCTTCGATGACACGCCGATTGGGGTTCCAATACTGCAAGGTAAGCATGTAATGATGATAACTTGGGAATACTTGAGAAACCTTGCCTGCTCTCCAGGAACCTTTTATTGATCATTAGCATAACCTTCTAACTAAGTACCAGGTAATAGGCCAAAAAGAACTATCAGATAGAACCCGAGAAAAAGCGCCATCTGATCGGCTACACAGGAGCTGTCTAATTGAAAGATGGCACCGAGAACTGGCCAGCCTTGCCAAATAACATCAACTTTACCCTTTCGTGTAGTTTCTGAAAAACAATAGTTGTTGTTGTCGGATGGTAAGTGATAGTTGTCGGACAGACAGTCAGTCGATTGTGCTAAAACAGTTGGACGGCTCGCTCTCGGTTTATATCGAATTTTTAATTGGAAAAGAGCTTCAACCGATGGGAAGCACGATGGCCTCATGGTTAGTACACTGGATTCCGTATCGAGCGGTCCGGGTTCGAGACCTTGCCGGGGACACTGTGTTATGTTCTTAGGCAAGACACTTTACTCTCACAGTGTCTCTCTCCACCCAGGTGTATGAATGGGTACCAGCGGATTAACCCTGCAATGGACTAGCATCCCATCCAGGGGGGAGTACAAATAGTCCTAGTAACTTCATGCTTCAGAAAGCGGGATGCGCTCTGGCCTGATGGGCCACTTGGCTCGCATTCAGACTTAAACTTACTTTTAACCGATAGGAACCTCGAGTTCTCCGTGATTAAATAGTAGGTGCTTGCCCAGCCACTCGGATTCAAAGTTTGCAAATTGCAAGCGTGCTTTTAAGTTTTTGAGATCAAGTTTTAGTCCTAGTTTACTTATTTGAAGTGGTGTATTTATATTTTTCCAGTTCACGTCAGAAGTCTATGTGTCAGGTCTGCCCTCATTTCTTACTCCATAATTGAGAGAAATGACTCGGGTTCATTCCAAATTGAGAACACAACAGGAGTCTTTAAACTTCGTTCGTATCTGCCACTGAACAGTACATTCCAATTCCTGGTAGAAGTCCGACTACAGAATGACGAACATTCGGTAAATAGCTCTACAGCACTGGTATTAATCCAAGTTATTGCTCGCGACACTTTGAACTCGCGTACTATTGTGGATTTTGAAACAGGGAAATTAGGTTTCCTTCAAGATGAAAGGATATCAAACCTCGCGCAGCAGTTTGGGTTCTTCGTGAATGGTTATCCAGGCAGCGAGGGAAGTTTACGCGCTTTTGTTGGGGACGTGAGTGCTGATATGAACTATACAACATCACGTGAACAAGCAGTACATGTGAAAGCGGTGCTGATTAACAGTGATGTGTATTGGGACAGGCCAGCGGTGCGTGTTATCGCGCAGGTGCAGGACGCTTCATACAATGTGCGTACATTGGTGGACAATAGCGAGATTGTTGTTAAAGTCCAACCCAGTGCCAAGCTGTCAATGATTGATGGGAGCCTGTTACAAGTAAGTAAATCACATGTGTTAGTAGAATAGTTTTCATTATTATATGGCTAACTCCGTGAGTGCTGTAGTTGGCTACCCGAAGGCGTAAGATGGCGCTATCTTGCCCACTCGGGAATACCCTCTCTGTCCCGCAAGAATTTTTTTTTTCAATATAATAAATCCTTTATTGACCGAGCTTGATCAAACAATACGGCTGGATACTGACTCCGTCTCGGTCCATAAACACGCAAAAAAAGAACGTGGCCAATATCCAGCCATCTTGATCTCACGCTTGGTCAATAACCCATACATACTACCCAGACTGGAGCAGTAAAACAATAACAGAGTGCTTTCGTCGAGTTACTTTTGTTTGGTTGATTGATTGTTTGATTGACATTTTTACTGTAGACAATTGCCAAGCCAGGTGCATCCAATGGTATTGCCGAAATTCAAGTACCTTTGCCTCCTCAGTGGTTCTCAGACCCCTCTCTTGTTGATCCTGAAGTTGTAACCATCACCTACCGCCTCCGCAACTCTGCTTTGCCTCCTGCGTTACTAGGCAACGCTACAATTCACCCGCAAGACAACCCACAGTTGTTTACAAATGACGTATACGGTGTGCTTCCTTTAGAAAGTGTATTCGTGGGAGGAATATTCAGCTTTTCGATTTATTGCGACTCCTCGTACGCAGTAGCCTCGTTTGGGATAAGGCTAGCGGTTGGTCCGTCGCTTGTCATTGTGGGATCACAGGTTGATGGACAGCAATGGGTTCATGTCGCTGTCAATCGAAGCTCTTCTGAATGGGTTGTGAGTGCAGCGTTAACTGATCCTGAAGCTGCGCCTCAAGGATTTGTCAAAAAAGCCGAGCTGGTGAGTTTTCAAGTCAAAGTGAAGGAGATGGCTGCAGCTGATACAAACGCTACTGTCACAGCCGAGGTAAGAAAAGAGGATAATATTAGACGTGAGTAACAGAGCCAGCGACGAGATCAGATCTTCAAGTCAACAGCAATTGATTTTGTTCTTCCACGCATCTTAATGTAGCTTTCCTTGCCGCATTAGCTGCCGACCTTGGCTACGTACACGCGTCAATAAAACGAGAAAATCGACGGAAGGCCTCGCAACTGAGAAGAACTGGAAAATGCGCGTGGTTCAACATATTCTGTTAGGAAAAAAAACGTCTATACTTTTTCTCAATCCATTTCTTCAATAGGTTCACGTTGGCGCGCACATAAAAGCCTAGGCCAAAGAGACAGTAGAATTTGACCCTGTTTCCTTACAATAGGGACCTTACGCAAAACACGACGGCAACGGCAACGAGAACGTCACCAAACAAAAGGTTTAATGAGGAGAACAATGGCTCTGCACGTGCATTATAATTATTGGTACATTTCTTTGCNACATTTTTTACTAGGCGTCGTCCTCGCCGTCGCCGTCGTATATGCGTAAGGTCCCTAATATCAGAACACGACGGGAAGATCCTTCAGTGGGATGAAGTTGTCTTCGATCTTGTGCCAACAAATTTGTCAGAGCCAAACAGGGAAATTGATGAGGAGAATTGATTAATACCTTAAGCTTAAATTTGTTTTTTGTCTTTTTTCTGACATAGGTAGCTTACCTAAGCAACATCAACAACGAGGAAATTGAAATCGACAGTCAGTCACTTCCGGTTATGGCGGCCATGATTGATGGTTTCAGTCAAGTTCGGCACACCTTGGGGACGATTCGAATCGCCTCCAACGATATCGCACAACTGATACCATACGCTGAACCTTCCGAACTAGTCAACACAGCTGTTTTAAATGGACAGATCGTGATGGCAAACGTGAAGCTCCTGGCTGTTCAAAGATCAGGCGACATCACAACACTCTCTGAAGCAAACTGCACGAGTCTTTCGAAAGCTCTCCAAGTTACTAAGAACTGTTCGAACATATTTCTAAACGGTAGCGAGCCCGAGGGATCGCCCCATGCGCGGGTACAAGTCGAGTACGATCATGTAATGGCAATTGTTTCAATTCGCGTGTGGTTTCCATCTCTGCCTCTAAACTTGAGTCTGAATTACCCAGAGCTCGCTCAAGTGTCTGGTTGGTTTGAATTTGACGCTTCTAGTGGTAAATGTGCCCAGCGTTATCAGTGGAGCGAAGTTTATTCTGAAGCTCTGTTCACTTACGATGGAATCCACTTTGAAAACATATCGGCTACAAGTCTCGTCCGTGGAATTCTTTCAAGTTTGAATGAGTCTGTAGCAGTCCTGGATGGCTTTGGTAACGTTCATGGAATGTCTCCGGGTCGAGCAACTATTGCAGCTGTCAGTCCATTGAATTCCATTCTAGGTAGCGTTGAAGTCATGGTGACCTCCTCAAGACGTGTCGCTGCCCAGGTGATTGACATCGTCATGGTAACTAATCTGAGTGTTAGCATTCCTACTTCACCCTACCCCAGACTGTCAACACAGATTGCCGTGGCTTCTGTTCATCAAGATTTGCGTCGTGATCACACACGTGGCTCCCTCGTGGCTTGCGTTTCTTTCAGCGATGGTAGAAGGCAAAAATTGAACTCTGAACTAGGCCTTCAGCTCAAGTCGCTTGATGATCACGTGCTGCGAATCATTGGGCAATCGGAGGCGATCTCCGTCGGTTCTGGAGCTGGGATGCTTCAAGCTGATTGGGCCTTGCCTGCAAGCCTTTGCTACCCGAGTGGTTTTAGCCTCGGAATAGGTTATGAAATGACGAATGTGCGTTTGTCACCTCCCATAAGGCTTGAAATAACTGGTGTCAGTCAGCAAATCGCTGTGCCAGGAGATTCTGCCACTGTCGCAGGGTTACCAACATCAAGCCCTATCGTCGTGACTTTAGTGTTCGAGAATGACCACCACGTGGACATGACCTCAGACTCCAGAACAGTTTACGACTTGAGTAAATCTGACGGCTTCTTTATTGTACATCGCGACCACAACAATGTTCCAATGATAAAACCAAGCTCTCTTGGCAAAGGAGGCAGAAAAGATCTTGTGGTGCGTTTCACTCACTTTGCAATCTCGCGTACTGTTTCAGTCAACATCGTAACGTACGTAGGTTTAGCGTTAAATGCGAGACCCTACCCACCCTACCCTGGTTCTCCGTTGATCAATTCGTTGAGTCCTGTAGCTGACACAAGCTCATTTGAAATGGCCTCACTGAGCCTCGCCATGGTTTTGAGCGATCAATCAAACTATGACATAACGCGGCATGAACTGACGTCATTTTCATCCAGATCTACAGATGTCATAGTTGGACAAAACGCGGCGAACCGCGTGACAGTAAAACCTGGCGTGAAATCGACCTCGGCTATTCTTGATGGACTTTTTAGTAGTGTTGGCTCTATTGATTTGCTGGTGAATGTGTACAGCTCTCCTGTGAATGTTGCTAACATAACTGACTTCGTCTTGGTACCAGAAAACAACAGAACTTTGTCTGGTGTGCAAAATTCTGCAGTAGCGCAAGTGCAGTTATCTTTGACATTCAACAATGGAAGACAAGTAATGAAATTTTATGAGGAAAGTTCAGCGTTATTTCCAGGATTAATCACCTTGATCAGTAAAAATAGCCAGGTGTTCAGTGTGGATTCCTCCACAGGTCAAATCACACTTCGTCGAAACTACCACCAAACACTGTCTCTCACTGCCACTGCTGCAGTTTCTATGGTAACGTCTGAGGTGACAGTCTCTTGCAACCTGCTACCGGCAATCGGTGATGTCGATCTTGGAGAAGAAACAGGCCTACCCTTACCGCCAAGAAGTGTTGGATCCCTGATCCACATTCAAGCGCGTTTGAACGCAGGGGAAGACCAAGGCGTCAAAATGATTGATTTAACTCTAAGCTATGACCAAGCAAAACTAGTTTTAGTTTCTGTAACAAAAGGAAGTGCTTGGACAACCTGTGTACCTGATCTTAACACCATAGGGCAGATGTCACTCGATTGTTCGAGCGACTCGTCGTTGAATGGTCTTGTTGAGGTCGCGGTAATTTCCTTCAATGCCACCAGCCCAGGTGTAGCTGCAATCCTCGGTTCCGTAACCACGGATACTCTGGGAACTTCTTCTCTTGTAGCCGGTGACGTAGATCAGGAGATTGTGGGAAGCAGTAAAAGAAGGCGACGCGGCCTTGATGATCGTGATAGAAGAGACTTGATTGAAGGTCATAGACAACGCATGCGAAGGTCTGTGTTTTGCGCCACTCCTCCTTGTCAGTGTGATGAGCCACTTCTTACAGGTGATGTGAACAGGGATTGTCTCTTTGACCTCGGCGATGTTATCTTTGTACTTAGGTTCTACGCGTTTTCAGTCTTCAATTTCTCGAACGATGCTGGTAGTCTCCTTGTCCAATCGCTAACGTCCAATCAGTCACGTGACCTTGACGTAGACAGAAACACCATTGTGAACCCAGCCGATGCGTTTTACCTGGTGAGAGCGCTGCTGGGTTTAGTTCGCTTTATTTCTGTCGCAAGCGTGACTCCAGTACAGCTCATCACTTCTGATTGTCAGCTGTCATTCAGCGTCACGTTAATGTCAAAGACTGGCCCCGCCTCGGATACTGACACTTTTGTTTTCTTCGACATCACTTACGGGGGGAGCCCAATTGATTTTGCAGGGTCCACAGGATCTCTCAGAGCTAATGGTATCTATGGCAACGTAATCCGAGGAATAAGTCGCGGTAACGGGAGCTTTGGTGTCCAGGCTCCCTTTGAGCTCGTTCAGGACGATCTTGGTCTTAGTGTGTTTCATGTTACGCTTGACTCAAACAACAAGACAAGTTTTCAACGTTTGTCTGCTTTACTTGGCAGTCCTCGTCCGCCGTACTTGTTTCCTTTCAGATTATCTGCAGACCTAAACATTTCTGGTCAAATTGTAAGCTTTAACGCGAATCATAACTACAATCCCTTCGCCATGTTTAACAATACACTGAGTTCTGCGGATTGCATCAACAATTTCACGCCAGAGTTTCAAAAGCTCTACTATCGCGCCAATGTTTCGGAAAATACAACGATAAATTCGTCAATCATCACTGTCAATGCCACGGATCTGGATCAAGGAGACAGCGGAAGAGTCAGTTACAGTCTTGCAAGCGATGACGCGCTGCCTTTTGCTGTAAATTCAACCTCAGGTGTCATTCGCATTGTTAGATCTTTGGACAGAGAGGAGAAAGCCTGGTACAATCTGACAGTCAGAGCTACCGATGGAGGAGCCCCGGGACGGGAAAAGTTTTCTCATGCGTACGTGTTTGTAATGATCTATGACGTGAACGACAATGCTCCAGTTGTCACTAAAATTGTACCGGGTCATGTGATCAAAATCCCCGAGAATGCTTTGGTGGGTAGCCCGCTGGCCACAGTGATTGCCACCGACGCAGATATCGGGGAAAATGCGCGACTTAGTTTCGGTATTGTCAGAAACTCTTCGTGGAACAGGACGTTTGTAATGAATGCAACAACTGGTGAAGTGGTGTTGAACAGTTCTTTGCATGGAAAAGTTGGAGATATTTTCAAGGTTACGGTGTTAATTTCAGATCATGGTATTCGTGTGTTAACTGTGAATACAACAGTGGAATTTTGGGTAACCTACGCCTCCGATGTTGAAATATTTTTCAATTCTCAGTTTTATGAAGTGAACGTGACAGAAAACAGCGCAGAAAACACGAGTGTTGTTCAAGTGACGGCGTATGTTCCTGGGCTTCCTTCAGCTGAGATTTTTTATTCCATAAGCGACAACGAAGCATTTAAAATCGATTCAGACAATGGTATTGTACTGGTGAATTCTACAATCGACCGTGAAGCCAACGAAGTTTTCATACTGACAGTAACTTCACAGTACGGACAGAATATTAGCACCAATGCTACTGTTAATATCACAGTCTTGGATGGAAACGACAATGCACCAATCCCTTATCCTGTAACTCTGCGGGTCATCCCGTACAATCTACCCGCAGGCAGGGACGTTTTGCGAGTCAATGCATCAGATAAAGACAGTGGCAGGAATGCCGCCCTTAAGTTTTATCTTCTCCAAGACGTCTTCAATCTCTTCGCAATCAACAGAAAAAGTGGAATGATCTTCCTTAATTCGTCATTGCTTGACTTGAACGACAGTTTCGTACAGCTTTTAATTGAAGTGTCCGATTCAGGGATGCCTTCGCTGTCAGCCAACCTTACTGTCAATATTTCAGTCCTATTTCCACCCCATTTTGATCACAGCAGCATCAACATTTCTATACCCGAAGATGTTTCAGTTGACAAGACTGTGTACACGTTTACACCGAGGAATATCTCTGGACAAGATCTCCACACATACTTCACCATCTCTGATGGCAACTTTGGCGAGAAATTTTCTATTCGAAATCTTACCGGAGAGGTTTTGATTCACGCAAGTTTGGATAGAGAGGAAGTCAGTTTTTATTCACTATCTCTTCACGCATGGAACCTCGCTGTTGAACTTTTCGCAGAAATTCCACCTACAGAACTCTTGCTAAACATCACTGTCCTTGACGTCAATGACAACGCGCCATATTTAGAAGCGGTCAAGCCAATCACAATCAAGAACACTGCTCACGTGGGGTACACGTTGGTGCGTGTGAGCGCCACCGATGCCGATGAAGGTCTTAATGCGCAACTGCAGTACAAAATAACTTCCGGTAACGAGCTAAATAAATTCGTTATTAATAACCTCGGTTTCGTCCAGTTAAACAAATCGCTTTTATATGACAGCGTTGCTGGGTTTTTCCTTACCATAAACGTGACTGATCATGGGTCTCCAATGCTCTACAATACAACTGAAGTCAACGTGACAGTTCAAGATGACCGGAGCCCGCCTCGTTTTAATCAAACATTTTACAATGCCTCCATTCCGGAAGGCAGTCTCCCTGGAAGCGAAGTTGTTATCGTTTTTGCCACCGACCCTAACGGAGACAGAATCTTTTACAACATATCCTTGACATTTGCAAACGTTGCTTCTATCTTCAAGGTCAATTCTTCCACAGGGATCGTAACCACTTTAACTAAGCTTGACCGAGAAATTCGCGACACATATCAGTTTGAAATAAATGCTTGTAAGTATTCACCGTTGACTGGTCAGAAATATTTCGACAATGCTAGTGTATATGTGCGCATTTTAGATGTTAATGATGAGCGGCCTCGCTTTGAACAAAGTGTCTTCATAGTGGAGTTGGACGAAGATAACTCTCCAGGGGTATTTTTGATGTCAGTCCATGCAAATGACAGTGACCAGGGACTCAATTCTCTTTTGTCGTACGCGATCATTTCAGGAAACCAGAGTGTATTTAGCATAAACAGTTCAAGCGGTGAAATAACTGTCTTGATATCTCTTGACTTCGAGACAGTGCACCAGTTGAATTTAACAGTGCAAGCTAAGGATCATGGGATACCACCACTCGAAGCCAACGCGTCGGTTATAATTAACATCCGGGATATAAATGATAACACACCGATTATTGACAGTAACTTAACTTACAACCTGATTTTACTGGAAAGCGTGCCAGAAGGAACATTTGTAGTGCAAATCAATGCCAGTGATGCCGATAGCGGAATTAATTCAAATCTTACGTTTTCAGTCGCTAGTGGAAATGCTTTCACCATAAATCCAGCTAATGGCGTTATTACAACCGCGTCTGAGCTCGATTATGAAAAGGAGAAGTTTTACACCTTGAATGTGAGCGTACAAGACCAAGGGTCCCCTCCCTTGTCAAGTAGCATTCTGGTAAAGATTGAGCTGATTGACGTGAATGACATGACACCAGTCATTTATCCTTTATCCCCTGTGTACGTGAGAGAAAATGTGCCTGTTGATACAGTCATTACAAGAGTAAATGCCACAGACGGTGATTCGGAGATCAATGCGGTGCTCAACTTCACTTTAGTATCTGGTAAGTGCCATCTAACACTTCACATCCAAACCTCGTCTCGGAGATTCCAAATGACGTATGCTTATGACGTCATACTGGCATAAAAACTTTAACTGCCCTCGTGACAGCTCATGAAGCTTTCTGATTGGCTGACAAGAAATAGAAGCTCTTCGTCCCACTGTGTTTGACCCGAAGAGTTTTTGTGTCATATTATCCAATTATAAGCTCCATAACTTGTCACGTGAGCATGGCGCTGTAAGAATACCTCATATAGCTTCCCAACTGACAACGCGGGGCGTGGTTAATTTTGTGATCGTAACTGATACCCAATAACGAAAGGTTTTGAAAAACATTTCAGAATAAAGAGTAGCGAGATAAAAACATGACGTTTCGGCGACGACATGTCACCATTATCAAATGCAAATTATTATGTGTTGGGTAACGTTATATAAAGAATATAGAGTGGGAAAGTACATTAGAATAAATGAGGCGGGGATAAACAAAAGAATGAGAAACATTTAAATACATATTCACCAGCGCATCGAGGAGCATAAATATTCCGTCATCGGTAAACACCTAAAGGACAAAAACAACCAAACATCTAACAATCTTCACGAGCAGTTTGTCACCTTAAAGAAATGCCACGGAAAGTTCGAGTGCCTTATTTATGAGATGCTTTTTATAAGGAAAAAGAGTCCGGCTCTGAACACTCAAAATGACTCCATTCCAGCGAAACTTTTTATTTAAATTTTTCTCATTCTTTTGTTTATCCCCGCCTCATTTATTATAATGTACTTTCCCACTCTATATCCTTTATATAACGTTACCCAACACATAATAATTTGCATTTGATTATGGTGACATGTCGTCGCCGAAACGTCATGTTTTAATTTTATCTCGCTACTCTTTATTCTGAGATGTTTAACTGATATCCGTTACTTTTCATACCGTTTAGATAAAATGATAAAATAAGGTGGGGAAATAAGACATAACAGAGAGTGAAGTATCAGAAGTCCTTATCATTTGTGCTCTCCTCAGGTAACAATACTGCCTGGTCACTGCAGCTTTCAGATAAGGGCAAGCGACTTGGGAAAGTCGTGTGAAACAGCACCTAAACATAAGCAAATCTGGGCATGTTTGGATAGTCGGTCACTAAATAAATCCGCCCCAAATCACTACACACTTTAACACACTTTATTTCAGTTGCATTTAGAAATTAATACAAGTGTAAAACTGATCCACTATTAGCATCAGGCAAATCTATGCCGATCAGTTATTATCAGATTACTTATATTAGGTTAATTAAATAATGTGTAAAAAACAACTCGAGAGACTAAGAAAAAGAAAATAGAAAATATTAACATTACTTTTAAATTAGCTCTACGCTAGATATAACTTAAGAATGTACGACGTGAAAAGAAATTTCAATTATCATTTCAACTTATCCTTGTTGCTCATCTTTCATAGGTAACCAGGCCGGAGACTTTATCATCAACGGGACAAGCGGTATTATAACAACAGCGCATGCGCTAGATCACGAAAACGTGTCTTCGTACGTGTTGAACGTGTCAGTCATCGATAATGGAGATCCACCGCTGACCTCAAACGCTGTTCTCGTCATTTACGTCATTGATGTGAACGACCATCGCCCTATTTTCAGTCAAGAGTCATACCAAGCCAGTGTTTACGAAAACTTCACGGTCAATTCGACAATTCTGCGTGTACACGCGCGAGACTTGGACAGTAGTAGCGCGGGAGGCATCGTGTACAGTTTAAACGATGGAAACGACAATAATACGTTTTTATTGAATTCCTCGTCGGGAGAAGTCAAACTTGCGCGCTCGTTGGATTTTGAGGAAACAAAACATTATTTGTTAGTTGTGAAGGCAACAGACACGTTTCTTCCAAATGACACACTAGATGTCATTGGTGCTGCAAATGATTCTAATGCTTCAATCTCGTTCTTTAGCTTTGCCAATGTCTCTTTGTCAGTGTTGGACGTGAATGATAATCCACCACGGTTTGACAGAGATTTTTACTCTGTTCCGATCGCGGAGAATCTTCCAACAGGTTCTCTTGTTGCTCGAGTCCACGCAACAGATCAGGATTCAGGAGAGAACGCCATGATTGTCTACGAACTTCTGCCATCAGGTCTAGCCACAGAGCTGTTTGTTGTTAATGGCTCGTCAGGCGAAATAAGAACGAGATTCTCTCTTAGAGACGCAAATTATTTGACCATCGTCTTGTCAGTAATTGCATTGGATAGGGGCACACCACCTTTAAATAAAACCTCCATATTACAAGTGCGTATACATTACAATGTTACGTTCAAATTTAACGACACGAGTCCTTTTACATTTGTCGTTCGTGGAACATTTCCACTTGAACAGCCAGTCATGTTGAGCAGTGTCCATGCTCAAGCTCGCCTGGACCTGTTTTCACAGATGTCGGGTGAATTTCAAGTTAGTACAGGAAATATTCAACGCTCAGAGAGGTTCGAGGTGTTGACAGAACGCGCGTTATACATCAAAGCAGCCCTTGTCAGTGATTGGCCAGATTATCAGGTTACACGGGTCGCAGTACAGATATTTGACGAGAATTTTAATGTCAAGACCGCACCCACAAAAGTATATTTCAAACTTGTAAACCTTGATACAGACCTGCAGGTCAATATCACTTGTGTTCCGTCGACCAATACTGGAATATGTGTCGGAAGTTTACTTGTACCACAGGAATGGCTGAACTCTACTGTGTCTCCTCGCACAGCTTCAGTACAGTATGGTCTGCTACCCTCAAAAATGGTTGAGCTTAAACAAGTTGCCCTTAGCGAAAGACAAATCCCTCAAGTTAAGGGAAACTTTCTGATCTTCGCGCCGCTGTATTTGTTGAATGTTGGTGATGAGTTTTTACTCGAGGTATATGCTCAGTATCCTAGACTTGTGAAGTATTTCACTTTGATCTTCACGGTCTCGATGGGTTTGAAGATAAACTACGTGCAAGCTTCTTCGTCCTGGAGTGTTCAAACAACTTTCAATGGCGCAAACGAGTTTGTTGTTTTTGGAGTTCGTAAAGGTGATCGCTCTGAAGATCTTTCGGGTTCTATCGCGCAGTATTTTACTATCAAAGCGGAAATCGCTGAAAATGCTATAATGGTGAGCCCAGAAACAATGGAGTGCATTGTTAGCCAGGTTAGCGACCAAGAGAGCAATCAACTTGTTGACGCACCAGTAAAAGCTGTTTTCGAAGACCGACTTGGAAGGAATGAGAAAGGACATTTCGTGGTCATTCAAGATGACGTCACAGCACTTTTTGTCGTGCCTGATTTCTCAGTCATTGTTAACACTGCTGTGCTGAATGGAATACGGATTGATGTTCCTCTTGTTGTGTATGGCGTAACTGCGTCAGGAAGCGTCTTGAACGTGACGAGCGTGACGTGTAGGAGTCTTAATGTTGATGTTTTGAAAGTTTCAAATGACTGCTCTAGCGTGTTTGTAAATGGCAGTGAAACTAGCGGATCAACAGAGGCAATAATTGAGTTTTCGCACGAATTTTTTACGACGAATTCTTCCTTTACTGTATGGACACCGACAATTCCAATTTCCTTGTGTGTCACTCCTGCAAAGTTGAAGAGAATACGTGACTGGTATGATCCCAGTGATTCCTGTAAGTCACGCTATCAGCATGCACGGGTGACAGTAAAGGCGGAGTTTTCGAACGGCGGACAATCGTACGTTGGAGTTGATGTTACACAGCACGTTAAAGATAACTTAAAAAGTTCTAACATCAGTGTAGCTGAAATTATTGGTTTAAATGTTCATGGTAAAAGCGTTGGCAACGCTTCCATCGTACTTTACAACTCTCAACTCGTTCAGTCTCTTGGAGACTTGGTGGTGGAAGTTAGCAATGAAGAAACAAGGGTATATGTTCTCGATACATTGATTGCAACACGGCTATTCGTTACTCTTCCAAAGTCACTAAACAACTCTTTGAAGCATACAGCGAGAGTTAACATCGATCAGAAGTTTTCTATTCCAGAAGACGAAGGTTCGGTGGTTATATCTGTGCAGTACAGCGATGGAGTGGTAAACACTTTTGACAACCTGCACGGCTTCTACATCAACTCTACAAACAACAGTGTGGTTACTGTACAAGGGGGACTTGTTACAGCGGCCAACAATGGAAACGGAAATCTACATGTCGTTATGCACTCGGGTCACTGCACACCGCAACCAGCCATCATGTCACGCGTAAACGTTGACGTCAATTTCCAGGAACCCATTGCAGTTCTCCTAACTTTAAGCTCAAGAGAAATAACGCCTCGCGGAGACCCTGCTGAGGCGATTGGGGTCCCCATGTCTACTGAATTAACCGTGACTCTTGTTTATAACATAAGTGGTCGTGAACACCGCATTGATGTTGCAAATGACAATCGAACAATGTTTAACTTGGAAATCGGTGGTAACTTGGCAAACGTCGTTGCTACAGAACGCGCGATCGTCATTTCCGCTTCCGGTGCTGGCTTCGGTCAAGTTGAAATGCCAATCAAGTTTGCGCATGTTCAGACAAGTAGTCGAGTCTCGATTGATGTCATTGGCACTCAAGAACTGAAATTCTATGCAAGTCCACACCCAGCTTTTAACTCGTCGTTGAACGTAAACCTTACTCAATTGAATCCGATTGGAAACTCAGGAGAGCATCAGCAGGGGAGACTGAACCTGATTCTTGCGCTTACAAACGGAACATCAATTGATGTTTCAAGAGACTCAAGAACACGGTTCGAGATCGCTGCGAGTCAGCCGGCTGAGCTTGCGCTGAATAGCGTCATCGAAGCTTCGAACGCTGGGTATCACGTGGTGTCAGTTCAGTGGAGGAAAGAAAAAGGACAGCTGTCAATCAATGCCAGTTTTATGGGCGTATTTAGTCACGTGGTAACCCTTGAGGTTGAGTCAACTCCTGTAACCGTAACAGCTGTAGAGATAGCCATGCCACCAAACTTTACGTTGACCGGTTTGCGAGATCGTTCCACTTTGCAACTGGTCATCAATCTGGAATTTAGCGATTCTTCAAAAATTCTTGGACTTTTCAGTTCAGAAAACTTAACTATGTTTGATTTAGTCCTTTTCAGTACCCAGGACACAACTGAAATATCGCTGAACGAAACTAGTGGCTTAGTGACCCTGCAAGATAATTCTCCGCAAGATGTACGCGTATCTGTTTATGCAGCACAGTCTCCGTCGTTAAGAGATTCCTTTACGTTCGCCTGCAATGTAGACCCGGATATTGGTGACGTGGATATCGGTGACGTCACTGGTGTTCCACTCAAGTCCGTGCAAGTCGGAGAAAGCTTTGTAGCCCCTGTGCGCATCAACTCTGGAGGTCTGGTGTTGGGAAGCTTCGATGTTGAAATCATTTATGACAGTGATTTGCTGGAAGTAGTCGGTATAAATGAAGGTGCTGACATGGCCGGATTTTTTGTCTCTGACACATCAAGCCAAACTGGTCAAACTGGAAAAGTGAGAATCGCAGGAGCCCTCACCATTGAAAGCCAGGATTATCCGGTTCGCCATGTCGCAGATGTCAAATATCGCGTCATCTCGAGCGGTGTTGCACGTGTTAGTGGAACAGTTCTGATGATCGCAGCTGATGACCTTGTTGGTAGCGTTATTGGAATCCCTGTTCCAAAAAATATTATGGCAGGAGATGTCGAGGTTACTATCGACAACGACTTGGGTCGCCCGCGTAGATCACTTTCATCCGCGCCATTACTTCAGCTGCAACCAGCAGTCAACACTCGTACGAGGCGTTCTGTCGTTGCTTGTGCCACTCCCCCCTGCTCCAACTGTACAAATGGGAAGCGAGAGCCTGGGGATACTGACGGGAACTGTATTTTCGATATAAGAGATGTTAAATTCGCGTTGGCTTACATGACGGAGCAGCAGTTTAACTTCAGCCGGGCCAAGGGACAAAGGATACAGAACATTATCACACAACAGCAGTTACAGGCATTGGACGTCAACGGCGACGGATCAGTGACCTTAAATGACGTTAATGTTCTATTACGGGCTAATCTCCAAATTGTCTCGTTGTTTCCTAGTGTTACGGTTATACCTGTTCAAGATCCAAAGTCAAATTGTCTTCTCACCATTTCTGTATCAGCTTCGCAGCTTGGTGTTGAACCATCCGACGCCAACTACACAATAGTTTTCTTCGATGTTTCGCACTCTGAGTCAAATTTTTCCAACAGTTTGCGTAACAGCGTCTTCATAACTGGGACTTTAGATACCACAGAAAAAGGAATTCCCGGGGGAATCATCCGTGCAGAATATAACATTGTGGAAAGACGTTTTGTGGCGTCACTGAACACCTCGTTGCTGTATTCGAGCATTGGTCTGTCGTTCGTTCAGGTTCGTTTTGCAAATGACGGATCGCTTGACTTCACAAGAACTATGATGATCAATGGGTTATTTTCACGGCCGCCCCTTTACCAAGACGCTCTTAACGCTACCTTGGACCTAGGGAGAGGAAGACGTTACAGCATAACGAGACCAAACGGCTACAACCCTTACACTTTCTTCAGCAATGCTTTAGCGTCCTCCAACTGTAGTGACGATCCTTTACTTCAAAACGATATTGTCGTGGGTGCGCTTGGCGCCAGGAAACTTTTGGTATCTTGGAAGCTTGCGAATGTAAGGCGCGGATTAAACTTCTCATTTATTTTGAGGCTGCGGCTTTGTGACCCAGCGCAGATCAACGAAGCTTGTGAAATCCGCGCGTTGGAAGTGAGTGGAACTAACCATACCGTGACGGGCCTAAAACCTTACACCAACTACTCGGTGAAGGTAGAAACCGCAGGGTTACCACTGAGAGAGACACGCTGGGAAGCTGTGCGCACGTTAGAGTCAGGTGAGTGAAGTGCAATTTATTAACACAGTGGAGTCGATTTAACTGTGAAAGTCAAAGTTTTATTTAGGAAATATAAAACATGTACCGTGTTTCTATCGAGTTTTAGTATAAATCTGCTAGCGTTCTATCACGATTGCCGTTTTCTGATTGGCTACGCTACTCACTATCTATTCTGTGACAGATAGTGAGTAGCGTAGCAGTGTGCCCTTGTTAACAAAATGACGGCCGCTTCTTGGCGTTTTCAAAGTGTCTGTGAACAGGATTTAAATAAAGTTTTGAACGACTAGTAGATTTATACAAGAACAATTAGATCATTCCCTCTCGATTTCTACGCGTGATAGAAATCTCGAGCTCAAAATCTAATTGTTTAATAGAAACACGATTTTAAACCAATCAGGGAGCGTATTTTCTTTTTGGCTATTTTCTAATATGGTATAAAATGCTGTATGCAAGTCTTCTCTCCCTAGCTAAAGCTATGTCTAAACAGAATATATTGTGTAAACAGGGTAGAAGAAAGGTTTTTGTTTGTCGTTTTAACAGTACCCGGGGGAGTTAGTCCACCTGTTTTAGAAGTCGCGAGTTCCTCTTCACTAAACGCCTCGTGGACCGAGCCTCAACATCCCAATGGCGTCATCATCAGTTACTCATTGCACATGCGCAACCTGTCCACTTACTCGGTCCTTTACCAAGGCTCCAGTCTGTCGTACCACGTGACTGGTCTATCAGCTGGTCAAGAGTACTTTTTCTACATCATGGCCAATACATCAGTTGGTGGCACCAAGAGCACGGTTGTTAGTGCTTCTGTTCCATCAGAAAACACACCAAGTAAGTATCCATATTTTCGGTATATTTGGGAGGCCAAGCAATGCCAGTATTTTCGTGTTGTATTCGTCACCTTGCAAGGCACGTTACTCTCACAATCCAACGAGAGTAAGTCTTCGTGCTTCGAGTACGGATCCGTGAGGGTCCAAAGATTACAAGGATTACAACAGACTTTTTGTCACAAACGTGAAACTGCTGGAAACCATGGTTTCGCGTCAGATGACCAACAGGATCCTACAACGCGCCACTTTCATGTCGTGTCAAATTGCAGGCTCAACTCTAATAAATAATTGACTAACTTATACAATGTTACCAGAAAACTGTACGGTCCGGCTCACGCAATCCTATAGAAAAACACAATACAAGCTGACTTGCGAGCTTACATCAACAAGGTTGATGTAAGTCAGCCAGTTGATATAACGTGCGCAATTCAGTTTAACCAAAGGTCATATGATAAAACACTTTTTGACTGAGTAAGGTCGGACCTACGGGAAGATATTTGGACCTGCGTTTAGGACGCGCGAAACTCATTATGCTCGGTCCGTACGTCCTGACCTCGAGCCAAATATTTTTCCTTGTAGCCCTCCCACTCAGTCAATACGTTCATATTATTATCAGCTTCAGGAGCCGGGGGGACGGAGCTGTCAATTGAGGCGATTGTGGGGATCACAATTGGTAGCGCTGCGTTTATCACTCTGTTGATTGTTCTGCTGGTGTGGCTTGTCAGGAGACACGTTAATGGTAAACAGCCGAGCACGCTGGATTATCAATCATTACACAAGTACAACTCCTTGGTGAGTTAATGTTTTAGACTGTTACTGGGTGGCTGATCACCACTCAAAGAAGAGGCTAGTGAGGATGGTCTGCTGGGACCTACGCAACCACAAAATTGATCAAAAGTTTTAAAGGAGCTCAGTTACAGTATTTTGAGTTATTTTCGCCGCATACAAAATAACCTTTAAATTGAAGGAAACCTGAAAAAAGTAGTTTACTAATATAGAAAAACACCAACGAGATAACAATAAACCATAAAGGAACAAGGATGGCTAAGGATGGAGAAGATTGACGCGGATTACAAACAACGAACTTGAAAAATGTAGGCTATACATTTCAAGATGCGAAACCGAAAGGTTTTGCACGAAGACTCGTTTTGAAACAGAGGTGAATCGGAAATGGCCTATTCGTCGGTGTTCATTCACAGAAAGAATTTAAATATAAAGTTACTCTTCTTTGTTTCCACAGGACGTTGGTGGCAGGGACAACTTAGCGATGCAACTAAGATCTACCTCAAGCCTGCAAGAGACAAGTCTGGCCAGAGGACGCATGTATGAACATCATTTCAGTATGGATGGACTGGAAAATCCCTGGAAGGAGCAGGTATTTCATTTGAACATTTGCCTCACCAGTCTCCTTCGCAACCGTTGTTAGGGTCGTCAGGCAACGCTTCTCCCCACGGCCCTGATAACGGCTGCGAAATAGACTACTGCCTTCACACGTACACGTTCGTTCGCGAGATGATTTGAGCGTAACATCTGATATAACTTTACGCCATCTAGTTTGCGCCTAGGTTTTAACATCAACACCAGTTGACGTAGTCTCGCTTTCACATGCATAGCGTAAAGGTTTCTGTGTCAGCGCAGAGCGACGAATTAACAAAGGGCCACAATCAGAACTAAAGGCAAGTCTAGAACTAACGACAATGTCGCCAAGTCACGTTATACCATGTTTATTTTTCACTTACAAAGTCGTTATCGTTTCAATATCAAGACTAGGCATAGATTTTTACGATTTTATTTCTCCGTTTTCTTCTTAGTTTTGGTCGCGATTGAGAAGATGTATCAAACACTCAAGACAGTGTTTGAACACATTTCCAAACAGCTCGAAGTTCGTTAAAATACTCCGCTGCACGTCGTATTTTCAACCTTCTTCTCGGTATTTGGAAATTTGGTCACTTCTGCGACTTTTCTCGAGATTTGTATTTAACAATTGCAGTCTTTACAGTGAGTAGTTTTCTTCCACCAAAACAAAAAAAAACAACAACCTGATTTCCAGCACCAGCAGTATTTTAAATTAATGAGTGGAAAGAATTTTCGACACTCGTTTTGTTGTTTCTAGGATTTAGAAGAGGACCCTGGACAGGACGCGCTTGCTATGGTAAATCACAGACACTTTGAACCAGGCTCCGCGCGCACTCAGGACTGGGATCCAGGCTACGAGGAGACAGTTCTGAAAGAAGCAGCAGAAGAGATGAATGAACTTGATGCAGCAATGAAAGAGGTTCGCATACACTCTAGATATAGAAGAATCTTTGTCGGTTTGCTTCATTAGCATAAGCATGCAGTTTCTGATGGACTTACAAAAGCATTAGTTCAGAATATTGAAAGGGCACAGCACGATTAACTATCCCAAGGAATTTGAGCCCGATCTGTTGAATACTTTTTGTGCGACGCAGGTTTAAAAACTCAAAATTTTACAAAGAATGTTTGAGCTCAATAGTCTTTTGCCACCCAGAAATTTTGCAGTTTTTGAAAGCCAATTTCTCCTCGAATATTACACCCAAAGAGCCAAAAATTTTCACAAGCTCTTTAAATGTTTGTAGTCAATTTGTGTCGAGCGTGATGCCTTCTCTGCGCAAAGTCGTATGCTAATGAGGAAGAATGTCTACTATGACATCAGCAAGAATAGGAATCTCTTGTTCTTTTTTTCATATAGAACGCTGACACCTTGAGTGGCTTAAATGGACATCAATTTTCTCTACGGGAAGATAACCTTGTGAATATGTCGAGACTATCTCGTAGCCAGTCTTTTTTGAGTCCAGAAAACACGAGTAAGAAGAAGTCCAAGAAGAAGAAGGAAGGTAAGAAATCCACGAGTGATAAGAACCTTGGGTAGACCGCTTTCAAACTGACAGACCTAAACTAAAGTCATCATTCCAGAATTCGGCGCAGATTAAACAATCAAAATATATTGTACGGACGTGTGACCTGGTGGGCAAAAGCGGGAAAAGTCATTCTCACCGGACTTTAAAGACCCCGTCCGCATAACGACGGAGAAATTTGAAAAACGCAGGTTTCAGAATTTCTACGGTTAGGCCCGTCTTCCACACTAATCCGCACGAAAACGGAGCCTTTCAAAAACGGTCTTCAAACCGGAGGAATTTGACAATGCCAGCTTTTCGTTTTCGTGTGGACAGAAAAGATTGAAAACGGAGTTTTTTGGAAACAATGACCCCGCGATAATCATATGAGTTCCCTGACCGGATTTTTTCAAAGACAAATCCAAAATGGCTGGTGATTGTTGCGTTTTCAAATCCCTCCAGCGTAGTGAGGACGGAAAACATTTGATGCGTTTCCAGAGTGAAACCTCCGTTTTCAAATTCCTCCGGCGTAGTGTGGACGCGACCAAAGTTATCAGCAGTCATTTGTATGACATGGTATTGGTAAACACACTTACTCTGCCGAGGTGTGACTGTGCGGGAATAGTTATAACTGACCGCCTCATGACTTCTTGTTTTCTTTTGTATTTTGCAGACGCAGCTATCGAGTGGGACTACTATTATGCCAGGAGTGCATTAACTGACGGCGATCAATTTGGAATTGAGGAAACCAAGGTACGAAGGTCTTCCTGCGCTGGAATCATGATTAAAATAGAAATAATTTAACACGGCTGATTTACTACCATTGAAGTCTGGAAGAAACCTTTGAAGTCACTGTGATCCGATATTTTTCCTTAATGAAGAACGAAAATTTGTTGAAAACTCATCCGTCTTAAGTCGTAATGAACGAGTAGAAAAGACGGTTGCAAGTTCACACTAGAAGCCTCTGATTTGTATTTTTTTGGTCAGAGAAATGCTATTTTTATCAGGGAAAAGTTAGAGAATTTTGAAAAGTGATTTCTGTGGCAACCATGACTAGTCTCTCTCGGGAGCTAAAATTGAGTCATAGATATCAGCCAATTCGAATCCATGGTCTCTATTCAAAGAGGGCTTCCATAGTCGTAATTTGTTTGTTGGTTTCGATTGTTAACGTTGCTTTTCTCTTTCAGCTGTAAATTGCAAAGAATTGCAGTAACAGTCGAACAGATAAACGTAAACGTGAACCAGTAAATGACTTCGTTGCTAATCAAAAGGACAGCTCAACCTTGGTGATAACACGTCTAAAGCTAAAGCTTCAACTAGATCAGGATGTTAAGCATTTCCTTGTTTCAAATGTAATACAACAGGAATTTTAAATAACAACGATTTTCAACGTTTAATTTCTTCTTGTTTAACTGGGATAAAACTGACTCGTCTTAAAGAACAAATAAATGTAATATATCTGTCACAGTATAACTTGAAACTCATAGCAATAAATAAACCATTTTTCAGCTTAAAACTATATTTAAAAACTAAATGATTAGTCTAAAGTGAAAAGCAGCAAACTAAATAACTATAAACTTGTAAAATTAAGATTCAAAATACTTGATAAATCGCCTTCACTTATAATGTCAATATGGTTTGAACATAGAAAAATAAAAATTAATGTTTCAGGATTAAACTAGCGACTAGAGTTTTCAGTTTTAAACTGAACTGATAGTTTTTTTTAATAACTAAATGATAATTCTCAAATTAAAAGCATACTAAATAACTGTAAACCCTTGTAGAATTAAAATTTAACTGTGCTTAATAAATCGCTTCACTTATAAAGTCAATATGGTTGTACACAAAAAAAATAAAAGAATTATGTGTCAAGTTTAAACTACCGAGTTTTCAGTGTTTAAACTGAAATAGTTTTAAAGTCTAAAATCGTAATCTATTTAAATGAATGGTTATTGTAAAAGAAAATAAAATAATAAATGCTGTTGAGTATGATTACTGTAAAATGTGAGGTGCCCTTATCACTCTAAATGATTTGCCTTGGGTGGGGGGGAGAACTACCACATGAAATGGTCGGGGATGTTCGTCGTCTCGCTTAGGGGTGTAAATCAAGGATTCTGGTCTCACTTACGGTGTTCATGATGAAACACCCGAAGTGAGTGAGCAAATTTCTGGGGCTGAAATTATTTTCTCACTTTCAGGTTATGCATGACTTTTTTCGGTGGGCAATAGCTTGTGCAAGAACTTTTAAGTCAAACACAGGACCTGGCTAGTAGAAAGCACTTACTCAGTTTTCTCCCCATGGCTCCCCTTGTACGAATCTTTTTCAGCAGTTTTCGCTGTGTAGGAATTTTCTTTGGAAATTGCCCAACCCCTTCCCCCTCAAAAAATAATGGTCCGTCCCTTTTTGACTTGTCCTTGCTCCTGATGAATGTTTCTTCGGCAACTTTTGGTTGTTCATCGTTGTAGTCACGTGCTCAGATACGAAAGGCCCGCCTGGTGGTGGAGGAGATGCTCCAGCGGTTAGCAAGTGGTGACGTCAACAAAGAGTTCCGGGAACTAGCCGCTGACAAGACTGAAGGAACTTACTTGTGTGCTAAGTAAGTTAGCAAATTTCTTCCTTTAAATTTACGCGAAAACCGTTCTTCTGAAAGCCATGGCTTAAAGTATTCACGTGCTCTGTTTTTGTGGAGCAAAGTGCTTTGAATTACGGTTATCTGACGGTTATCGTACGGTTATCTTACTAACGGTCATTAACAACTATTTACGACTGACCTTCGCTGGTTCTGTGCATCCGATTTTAACAATTTGTGAGCTCTTGACTAAACCTTCAATCTCAAAAAAGCGCGTGAAGAAATATCGTGCAGTAAGTAAACAAAGCAGTTGTTATAAAGGTGCAAAGTTAAGTTAATATTGCCCTGTGTTTTAGTTTCCGGTTTAGACCAACTAAAGGATTAACTCTTTGAATACCAAGGTCCATTTCTAGGCTTCGCCCGTAATTAACATCCAACTTTTCAGGGCAGCCAGAAAGAACATACAATGCAAAAGGTAGCCAGTGTAAAAGGGCCGAGAAAAACAGAAAGGAGAGGGCCAACAAACGAAATTGAGAACGGTTAATGGCAAAAAAAAAAAGTCCAAATTTTGGCTTATGCGCATGCCCGGAATTGAAGTTTTGCTCAATTTTGTACCTAATACTCGAAAAATCTCTCCTTTTAGTAAAGAAAAAGCTTTTTTAGCAAAACTTAGGCTTATTTAGCGTCATGGCAGCAAAAAAACCTGACTAAACGGTTAAAAACGGTATTTTTTGGCGAAAGTTTGGTATTCAAAGGGTTAAGTGGAAAAACTCTAAACAAACCAAAAATCCACTTGCGTTTTCCTAACGTTGCTTGTTTTTCTTCTCCCAGTGACCCAGTTAATCAGCCAAAAAACCGCTACAAGAATATTCTACCTTTTGATCATTCGCGAGTAAGCCTGGAGCTAGAGCAAGGACAAGAAGATGGCGATTACATCAACGCGAATTTCCTGAATGGATTTAACCAGAAGAATTCTTACATCGCAACGCAGGTAGATTTGAGTCTTTTGAAATATGACCTATACCTTGAAGAAAACGACAAAAACCAAAACTAATCGTGACTCGTTCGTACACGTTTTCCCGCGCATTGCGTCAGCTACATGTAATTACCTCGAGATTTGATTGGCTCACTGTATTTTCTGTGTCCTTTGTGATTGGCTAGAGTGATTACTTTGGTTTTGGTTTTGGTTTTACGACTCTCATTTGAAAACTGCTTTGAAAAAGAATTAATCTAAGCTGACACACGCACTGCTTTCAATTCAGTATATCTGAGTAAGCAACTTTATCTATACTCGGCTTTAGGGTCCACTGAACAGCACTATCGCTGACTTCTGGCAAATGATTTGGGAGCAGAATGTGCACGTGATTGTCATGTTAACGAGGCTGCAGGAGGGCAAGAAGGTCAAATGCGTCAAGTAAGCATCACGACTTGTCTCTTTTTCAGTCAGACAAATTCGGCGGGTGTTAATATATATGCCACTAATGTATGTTTTTATCTGAACCGTTTGAAGGTATTGGCCTGACACTGATGAAGAAGTGACATTTAGAGACTTTGTGATCACCAGCACTTACAAAAGGTTGGTATTGGGACCCAGCCCACTGTTTTATTCGGCATAGTTGCAAAGATGAATGACATGAGATTTCGCGACAATTTAAGGAATTCGCGTGAGTGCTGGCACTAGTTTTTGACTGAGTAATAAGGTCTAGCGACATAACGACATAAGAAAAAAGTACTTATCTTTTCCTCATGTCTTTATGTTGATGTTCACATTACCGACACAAGCGATGATATCGTTGTGTCGCTAGTGTGAACTAAACCTAACCATCGGAAACTAAGAAATTTTTCTGCGGCTATTTGCCAAAGCCAACTCATGTCCAGCTGGTTGCTCAGCTAGTCGCTATAATGTCATGAGCTAACCAGAACTTAAAAGCTAAGTAACAACTGGTATTGTGACCTGGGTATTTGTGTTGGTTCACAGAAAACTGGACAGTCGTGTCGTCCGTCGCTTTCTTCTAGAAAACTCTGGCAGCGGTGAGTGTCGAGAACTCATGTACTTTCAGTTCACTGCTTGGCCAGACTTTGGTATCCCATCATCCCCAGCGGACTTTCTCGAGCTCTACTATGAAGTTATGCGAGAGTTCAATTCACTTCCAGTACCCGGGACCCCCATATTGGTCCATTGCAGTGCAGGGGTTGGAAGATCGGGGGCATTTTGCGCCATTCAAAACTGCCTACAGTCCTTTAGATCCGCGGGCAAGATTGACGTGACAGAGGTCGTCAGAGACTTGAGAAGGCAGCGGTCGGGAATGGTACAAACCTTGGAACAATACGCGTTTTGTTACAAGAGCCTCGTTCTTGCTCTGTTGTACCAGATAAAGTTGAAGAAGCTTAAAGGAATTTCTCTGTTGAGCCAATCTGCGGCGACGTCAGGTGGCGTGTGGATGTCGGCTGGAAGATCTTTTAGTCCCCGAGAAAGTAGCAATGAAAGCGTGTTCAGTCAATCACGACTACAAAGTCCAAGCTCCGGAACAAGCCAGGAGTCCGTAACGTCACAGAACGCGCCTCCATATTCATACAGTCAGCAGTTGCTCCCTCCAGTGAGGGAACCCTATAAAGACCCGCGTGCTAAATCCGATAAAGACGACCTACCCACTGTGGTTGTTCATTCGACTCCAAAGCTTTCAAAACAAGATTCTCTTCCCTTAACATTGCGTGAAATCAACGAAGAGGGACCTATTAGCACGGATGTTTCCCTCGGGGATCAGCGGAATTTAGAAGTTTCCGTAGGGGAGACTGGTCGAAGGAAGACAACAGGGAATATCCGAAGGCGTCCTGATCTTGGGGAACCACCGCCGCCTCCGCCTCCACCTCCCCCTCCGCCGTCGATATTAACGAATGAAAATGTCGTCTGTGATGACGATCTAGTACCTGAACTTCCTGAAGTAGATTATCCTAATTCTGAACTGTCCGATGACGAACCTTACCCACCTCCTCCTGAGGCGGTTTTTCTCCCATTTGACGCAGAACAACCAAACCAGTTTGATTCCTCGGCCTAAATAAACAATGGAGTTTAGAGCTGCTTTATATATGTTGATATCTGGCATAACAAAGTTTACACAGCTTTCTTTTTATTTCAAGACTTTTATGTTGTCGAAACAAGCAGTCGTTTGACGTTAATGTGCTGTAACATCAAAATTATATTTTCTCTAAATAAGCAATATCTAACACAACATAAAACAACAAACAGCGGACAAAATGAGATATAAAGGGCACTGATCTCAACACAGGAACATAGAAGGAAGTGAGGGAAACTGGATTGGGTTTCTTTGAAATCGAAATCTGAACTCCTTGAACCACTATGATACTGCTGTACCACAACTGCCGTCTATTTATGTTTTTCTTAAGTTTTTAGTCCATAAACTTAGGGAGTTTTTCCTGCATTGTTAACTTAACTCAGGCACACAATTATATATGCTTTCATGTTATATATTTTTTTCATTTTTATATCAAACCCTGCCAATGTAATTACTTTATGTTTTATGCCAATGTTTTTTACAACAGTAATTTACACTTAACTGATATTCAGTTTTGTCGTGTTTCTCTGTCTATTTTTACTCCGGTTGTTGAAAGCGTGATCAAAATAAGATCATCCAGGCTCGGGATTGATTGTCGATTTCTGTTTCTAACCTTTTCCGTGATTTTCTCTGTTTACGTTATTCTTTCATTCAGGTTTGAGTAATCTCTTACTCTCAAACCATAAGTGGAGAAAGACACTTTTATACAAGAGAAATTAAAACTTTGGTTAGCTTTTAAGCCTGAAGTAACGTTGATCGGTTTTTCAACAACCGGGTCGAAGGGTTGTACAGTGGTAGAAAAAGTTCTAGTTGTCATAACTTGTACAATTTTTATGCAAACTTTAGAACAGTGTCCGAGAATATTTGTTGAACAAGAAACCCTTGTAGGCCTATTTGTGGATTTTTTCTCAAGACTTGTAAACCGACTATGGTTTTAAAAGGAAATGAACGGAGATGCCTCCTTAAAAGACATATTTTTTGTTCGTTACAGATGAAAGCTCAGTATAAAATATTTGTAAATACAAATAATAAAAGTAAATGATGTGGAGTCGCAGGGTTGATTTGTGTAGTACTGGGCTCCAAGTGCAGGGCTGACCCCGATAAAACTTTAATAGCCAATTGCAAGACACAGCTGGCGGCATATAGCGTGTGACTGCATTGTTTCTCAGTCGATACAATACAACCGGTTGATGGGTTCCTGATGTAACACGCATCGACCTACTGGAGGGTTCCTAGTGCGATACGCTTGAATATGGATCATAGTTCTCTACTTTCCTTAGGGGACCTCAGTCACGGTATTTTGAGTTATTTGGCCACACACAGGATTACCTTTGCATTGAAGAAAACCTGAAAATAGCAGTTAACAAAAAAAAACACAAAAGATATAATTATCAGTAATAAATCATAAAGGAACAAGGATGGTTAAAGTATGGAGAAGATTAACACGGATTGCACACAACGAACTTGAAAAATTTAGGCTAAACTTTTCAAAATGTACAGACGGTGGCGTAGCTCCTTTGCGTTAAATAATCCTGACCCTAAGAGGAGTGTGTTTGTGTGAAAGAACCTCGGGCTAAATCTATCAGCAACATTAAGGCCAGTTGCCGAACAACGGGTAACCTTAGCCTGCGAAGATGGCCACACTAACTGGTACTAGACACAGTCAGACTGCAGACCAGATTGCATGGTAGCCTGCGAACAGGCTCCCGGTTTGGTTTAGTGCGAGCTAGCCGAATATGGGCTAGGGCGAGCGGGGCGAACCGAGAGCGGTCTGGTGACGAGGGAGAGCGGATTCCTTATTTCACGCTTAACGGCCAGCTTCGCTCGCCGAATTTTTTTCTGCCCTCGCTGGGAGCCCGTTCGTAGGCTAATGGCATGAGAGCAGAAACCATCAACCATTCAAATGCACCCAAATGACGTCATAAACCCGTAGACGAGCCTGGTGGATCTACAGGAATTAAATTTCGATATGGAGCCAAACAGTACACTAGGTGAACTGTAACGCGGATTAACCCTCAACAAATCATTGGAGAGATCTGGACAGGATGGTCTTAGTGCTATATCCTGTAAGGCTTATATCTGAACCCAAAGCGATTGTTTCCACTGCTTTTTCGAGTTCTCCCAAACTCTCGATCATGATTTTTTCTCGCCACTCGATAAGAAACTGTTTTCCATTTTTAGAAAACGTTGCGAGAAAAAGAAAGGAAAAACACTTTCAAACTGATACATTTCACATTTCCACAACGTTTCTACGAAAAGATTCCAAGAGGGCTTGTGGACAAAATAAATATGAAAAAAAAACATGCTAGCGTAAGTGGTCTAAGTGTTTATTGCGCAATTTCGATTCGCTTGGTTAATTGAAGCCGGCTAAAATCTTATTAATCAATGCAGACATGCTTTAAAGCTTACAACGTGCATACCGGATTGCTTTGTTTTATCTTCTTAAACAAAGCAAGAATGATTGACTAGCGTGATAACGTTTGGTCGTTTATTGTTTTCATTGAAGCGTTTTAATCGCGAACGTGATCCCTTGAGGATAAAGTCCGTTCAAGTAAGAATAATTATCATCGCACCCTTTGAATTACATGGTTATTATTATTCTTATACAACGTCAAAACGTAAGGGTTATAAACTTTTAGTGCAGATTGACGTGCAGGGCAGAACTGTCTAATGGCCTCTTATGCCTACACACTGGCTGAGGTAAGTTTAACAGTTACTATCAGATGGCTTAACTATCAAACATTTCAACGTGATAAGTGAAAATGACTTATTATACGATTGGGCAATCTATTCATTATCTTGAACGAGTCGGTAACCAAATACTGCACTCGTGTGTTAACAGTTTCAACTGTCAGTTTAAAGGCAAAAGACAGAGTTGGTGGGTTGAACCTATAATCAGAGAGCCTTTGAAATGGAATAGTGATGAAATTATCAAAGGGGTGTTTAAAGTTATCTCAACTACCAAGTATATAAAACAGTTATAAACATCAACCGTATGACTTCAGTGCCAACTCCTTCAATACCTTATGCCGGTATATATACAGAGTAATCATTTCATATTCTTAATTTCTAAGTTATGGGAGCAAATTACACCTGTTTGGTGTTTTGTCTTTTAACTCAACTCAATTATCATTTCATGGGTTATTCTAGCCGGAAGCTTACATAACGATAAATCACTTTCTCCATAGTTAGTAGCTAACTGTACTTTCTCTAATCAGTAGCGCGGATCGTTTGGTGTTGAAAATATTATTTGTTCTGGCTAGTTGACGTTTCTTCCACGGCTGTGAAGGGTTACGCTGTGGAGGGCATGTTATCACGCTTCTCCAAGTTACGTAAAGGAAAAGCAAAGTAAAGTTTAGCACAAAATATCGATGAACCGTGGAATTGATTCTTTCCGCGTAATAATTGCTGAAAACATGATTTTTTTTCTCATTTGCAGCTGGAAGCTTTGGTGAGTTACGTTAATTGCACCTTGGCTCGGGACAGCGATCTTGACTGCCTCCCGATTAAACCTCCACAGAGGCTATACCAAGCGCAAAAAAATGGCGTACTGTTTTGGTGAGTGAACGAAACAACTTTATAACGTATGGCAATAAAAGGTAAACAACACGTGATCCGTGTCATTCTCTGTAGGACTGTATGTGGCACGTGCAGAAATCGTGTCACAACACTTACCCTACTCACAAATGAATCCAATGCAAGGCCCAGTCTGCACTACACCGAAGAAATTTAATTGCTACGGTAAAAACAACCGTCCACACAAATCCGTCACGAAAAAACGGAGCTTCTCGAAAACTCTCTTCAAACCGGAGAAATTTGAAAACGCTGGCTTTTCGTGTTAATGGGGACAAAGGACATTTTGAAAACGGAGCTTTTCGAAAAAAGATGACGTCACAATAATCACGTGATTTCCCTGCCTGAGTTTTCCTCAAACACAAATCTCTTTACTCTGTTTTGTTCATGGTTTACCGTGTTGCACTATCTTCTTGACTCTGTTTTCACGGTGGTTTACTGTGATTTGACAATGGGTTACTGTGATTTGACTATCTTTTTGACTCCGTCTTGACCTCGGTTTACCATGTTTTGACTATGCTCTTGACTACTCTGTTTTGACCGTGGTTTACCGTGTTTTGACCATGGTTTATAGCGTTTTGACTTTGTTTTGACCGTAGTTTATAGTATTTTCACTCTGTTGTGACCGTGGTTTACCGTGTTTTGACTTTGTTTTGACCTTTGTTTGCCGTGTTTTGGCTCTGTTTTGACCGTGGTTTAATAAATGAATAAAAACTCCCTCAATGGGGCTTTTCAGGGCCAATGAAACCAAATGATGAAACAAATAAAGCAAATGAACATAACATGGTTAAAAATCTCAACTGGCAGGAAGCAGACCGGTTGGCTATTCGCAGTGGTGGCCGAGAAGTTGAACTAGGGTCTACTGAGAAATAATTCCAGCTTGGTGGTCAGAGCTGGACTTAGCTTGAACCCGGGACCTCTGGATTTCAAGTCCGGCGCGCTAACCACTCGGCCACGCTGCCTCCTCCTTAGTGTAATTCTGTTTTGAGAGCTATACTGTTTGCGGAATTTGTAGGGCTGATTTAGGATCCCGGACCGCTGAGAAGCTGGAGAAAAAAAATAAGGGAAGATACTGTATGTCATTTGTGTCGTTCTAAGATTTTATTTGTATTCCTTTGTCTCTTTTTTTTTTT